TGAAATATTTCAATTTTATCTATTTTTAATTCATGTTTGTTTGCATTAGGGACGTGCCGAATATCTAAATTGCTTGGAATGTTAGTTGTAATGGTTGTAAATAACAGTTTATCTGTTTATGTACTGTTATATGGGAGCTGAATTATATTTTTGCGTTTATTCTACTTCTAAAAATGCGTTTTTCTTGGTTATTCATCAATAATAAACTTATTGATATAGCTCTACGTATATCATATAAGTATAAATAACGAACATTTGTTATTAAAAAAAATGTTATTAAAACATGTTATTAAAAAATGTTATTAAAATAAATAATATTAAATTAAATAATAAATAATATTATACTTTTATATTTGCTCATATTAGTCTGTGTTATATTTTCTATTACGTTCCTATTCCTTGCTTTTTTGTATATGTATGTTCTTTTTATACTTTCTATATTTTTAGGATCGAATATTTTTCAATATTGTTATTTCATCACAATTATATATCGTGATAAAATACATAATATTGAATAATATTAATTTCGGCATTCGATTATATATATATAATTAACGTAATAGGCATGGTGGAAAGGATACCCCCTTCCACCATGGTAGTATGTCGGCCAGGCCACTAGGAGCGTGGCGATCGTTTCTTGTTACCATCTTTTAATACAGGACTTGCGCTTCTCCTGTATATGTTCTGTGGTAGCAGTGGAGCAGTACGTTCTGAGCGACTCAGAAGCCTGGACTGTGGATGGAGTCACGAGTTCAAATCCCATCGGATGTTAAAAGTTTTTTTCTAGGTATTAGTGGCCCGTTCAGCACTTAAAGAGGATACAGCAAAAGATGGAGAGGAAATATAATTAATAAAAATTATCTCTAGAAATTAGGTAGAAAATATGTTATTAAAAAATCAAGTAAAAAAAATGTATTTTTTTCCTATTTAGTTGCTGTCTAGTGTAGGATAGACAGCTACTAGATAATTTTTCTTATACAACTGCTAGGGGAACATTACTATCTAGTAGCTAGCTACGATTTTCTACGTCATGACTGTGTAACATTTTATGTCTAGCTATTAGCTAATTT